GAGATTATTATAAGGCATACGGGTTAAGGACCGGAGAAAAGAAAAGCAAAGAGGAATAATGAACTGAAGGTAGCAAGGAGGCGGTCAAAACCTCAAGGATTCTATCAAATGTATCAAACTATAACACGAGAAAAGATTGGACCAATACAGCCAGATACCAGAGCTAACTGATAACGCATTTGAGAAATGGGTAATAATCTGAATAAATATTTTTCACCGTTTTCACTCCACCCAAAATTTAAAACATAATACCTGAGGCACTCGCTGACTCTATACAGAGATACAGTGAAGAAAATAAATTAAGCGAGATAGTATGACTAGTAACTATGTTAGTAAGCAACAGACAAACTAAAGCCTAATAAGTCACCAGGTCCCGGCGAGATATTTGCTAGAGTATTATGAAATGTAAGGAAGAGCTTAGTATACCCCCAGCGTTGTTAAACACGCCATTAAAAAATGGATGTAGTATCAGAATCCTGAGGTTGGCGTAATGTAATACCGATTTTCAAGAAGGGAGATAGAACATTATCTCTAACTACCATTCAATCAGACTAACATCAATTGTAGGCAAATTACTGGAAGCAATTATTTCAAACTCTATTCGAAATCACCTTGAGAAGCTAATAAAGTTAATCAAAGATTCCAAACATGGCTTCACAAGCTAAGTTTATGTCTACTTAATCTATTAGCATTCTTTTCATCGGTTTTAGAATCAGTGGATGAGGGGCAATAATTATGATGTGGTATATCTCGACTTTTAGCAAAGCTCGGCTAGAGTCCCCCTCTAATGAAAGACTATTAACAAGAAAAGTGGAGGCTCAAGTGGCATTAAAGGAGATATTCTAAAATGGATTAGGGTGTGGTTAAGACAGGAAACAGCGAGTGAGCATTAACGGCACTAACTGATTGGAGCAACTCCACTAGTGGAGTTCCCCAAGGCTCAGTACTTGAACCATTATTATTTATTATATACATAAACAACAGAGATATCGGCATATACAGCAACATAAGTAAATTTGCTGATGACACTAAAATAGGGAGTGTTATCAAATCTGATGAAGACTCTGCAAAACTACAGGAAGATCTAAACAAATTATTTTAATGGTTTGAAAAATGGCAGATGAAATTCAATGTGGACAAATGTAAAGTACTCTGTATAGGAGATGTAAACAGCAGAAACCAGATACCAGATGAACAACGAAGGTACAGTAGAAGTCCAAAAATCCGGACTGTTTGGGGATTGGCTCGGTCCGGATTTTCGGATTTTCCAGATTCTCAGGCAGTACTTTTAAAATTCAAATTTAAGGAAGAATAAAGAAGAGATGAACAGGTACATTTTGATAGTTTATTCATTCGCAAATATAGTATGCTTCATATATCAAAACGAGCAGTTTTAATGAAAAAGCTGTGAATTCTAGAATTCTTTTCTTTGCCTTGATATATCATAAATTGTAGACTTTCCAATGTCGTATGTTTCCATTAGAACAGTACTGCTCACACCACGTTCTAGTTTCTTAATTATTTCAAGTTTGTCACTCAATTTCAACGTGTTCTTTCTTTCTCTCTACCAATGATTTATCTACTTTAGAGGCCATTATTATGGGCTTGTACAGTACTCGTAAATGGAAAGAGTAGGACTCAAAATATTGTTATATTACAATGGTATTCTATTTATACTGTGCTTGATATAATGCATTCACGAAATGTAATATTTTTGCTGAACGTACGTATTACAGTGGAAAGTGGGATAAAATCGTGTGAAAACAATGACTTTCGCTTTCTTTCGCTCAAAGATGTTACAGTAATCGCTTTTCGAATGGTTTTCAGTTCAAAAACTGTTGTATTACAATAATATTCTATCCTAATTGATTTGAATAAATACTACGATACCATATTTCTGAATATTTTCATTAAAATCCATCAAAATCATTTTCCTTGTCTTCGTCTGCAGCACCAAACAGCTTCTCCCAGTCCTCTCTTTCAACAGGCCTAGAACATGTTTTCAAATGTTTTCAGTTAAAACTATTACATCACACGTATATTTTACTAACTGCGCCTGAATGAATATATTCTGGAAATAATTAGTAGTTTTACGAAGCGTGGCGTATTTAATGTAAAATAGGATAAAATACATACGAAAACAAAGACTTTACCTAAGCTTCCGATGTTGAGATGTTACTCGTTCTTTTAATAGTTTTCGGTTAAAATTCTGTTATATTACAATGATATTCTATTCATACTGTGCTTGATATAATACATTCACGGAAATGTAATATTTTCCTGAAATTACATCGTATTACAGTGGAAAGTGGGATAAAATCGTGGCGAAAACAATGACTTTACTTTCTTTCGTTCAAAAGATGTTACCGTATCGCTTTTCAATGGTTTAGTTAAAAAACTGTTGTATTTCAATAATATTCCCCTAATTGACTTGAATAAACTTGGAAAGGAAATATACAATTTATATTTGAAACTACCAGCGTTTCAGTGTAAAGTGTAAGTAATAATAAGTGGTAAACAATTTGCCTTGGCTTTCGTGTTTCATACGCGGCTAGCCTCAGTTTATAGGGCGTAGAGCGTTTTTACTGAAGGTTTTGTTGTTCCATTATCCTAAAAATGTGGGTCGAACTATAACGAGGAATATCATAAATTAACGATTTCTTGGTCAAAAATCAGAGTTGACTGATAAGCGAGGGGTTATAGGCAGTATATACGGTATGTCACAATTTGATTGCTCGTTTAAAGTGAAACGCGTGGTCGCTTGTTGTCGCTGTGCAGCTGTGGCTTCACTCATGCGCACATACACACAAAGCCCGCTAAAAAAAAAAAATAGTTTTTGAAAAGTCGGATTCTCGGGTGGTCGGATTTCATCCGTATTTTTGGACTTTTACTGTATTGAAATCCGATTGTGAGAAAGATTTAGGAGTAATGATAAGTAGGAATCTTAAGCCAAGTAAACAATGTTTTCGAAACAGGGCTAATAAAGTACTTGGGTTCATACAAAGGAGTGTTAGTTACAAGACTAGCGAGGTCATCCTAAAACTATATCTTGCGCTTGTGAGACCTCACTTGGTTTACGCAGTTCAATTCTGGTCACCGTATTACAGAATGGATATAGAATCCTTGGAAAGAACTCAGAGAAGAATGACGAGACTAATCCCGGGCATTAGGTACCTTGAGTACAGAGACAGGTTAAAGCATCTTAATTTGCACTCACTCAAACTATCCAACCAGGAGCGAACCTAACAATGGTTATAAATTAGACAAATTTAGATTTAAGCACGAAATAGGTAAACGTTGGTTTGGAAATAGAGTAGTGGACGAGTGGAACAAGTTACCAAATATCATCATTAACTCGAATACGCTGGATAGCTTCAAACATAGGTTGGATGGATATACAGTGGTCCCTCGGTACTGAGCACAATCCGTTCTAGAAGGTTACTCGTTAACCGAAACCATTGTTTCAATGGGTTTTGGGTAGTGGTTCCAGCTCAACGAAAATTGCCTAAATTCAACAAAAAGGTAGAAGTACACTTACTTTGAGGTGTGTATGTAGAAGGCTCCTGGATGATGATGATGGGAATTAGAATGGGGATGGAGGAGAAGGAGAAGAGAAGGCATTGGGGTGGAAGAGAAGTCACCCCATGGCGCCATTCACCATAAAATTTTAGTTCTCTTGGTGTAATTCAAGATTATTTTCTTTAAATCAACCCTGTACTGCATTATATATTGTCAATGTGTAAAATAAATTTCAAAATGACCAATAATTTGCTTGCAAACACAGAAAAAAAATTTAGTTAAGCGAGTCTCAAGCAAGATGTTACCTCCACTGAAAGACACAAAGACTGTGCCTGTATGCTGTGTTGGCAGGCTGGATGGCGTGCCACAAACTAGACCCTACCTTCAATTATGTTCAATAATTGTTAAATGACTAAAATTTAATATTAAACTTTTAAAATGACTGAATAGTATAAACTTCTGATATTTACTAAAAGGGTAGAATTTAAGCCCTAGAACCGATTACTGTATTGGCGGACTAATACTACAGTTGGTGGACCGCCAAATGCAAGCTAAAACATGTGAGTCGGCTCGTAAGAAACTCGTTAATCGAGGGGTTGCTCGTTAACCGAAGTTAAGAATCTTATGGAAGGTAATTCATGAACCGAAATCTCGTTAGCCGAGGCGCTCGTTAACAGCTCGTTAACCGAGGGACCACTGTATGAGCAAGAGGGGTTGGGTGTAAATGGGACTGCCCAGTATGGGCCAATAGGCCCACTGCAGTTTCCTCCATTCTTATGTTCTTATGTGTAATGACAAGTAGACGTGTTCTTAATGACGTGGCGAGTGTTGTTTAACCCTTTCATTTCATTTCACGTGCTTGCCATTTGATTCTGGCTACCGCCAGACGATTTTATTCAGTTTAGGGTAACCTCCTGCTGTGAAAGGGCTGTGTTGTAGTGCTAGTAGTAGTCTAGAATTTTTTTTTTCGGTGATACTTATGGGTGTCGGCTGGCCAGGAACTTATCCCATTGAGCCCCATGTTACGGCGGATTTACAATATTTCGACCTGCGATTGGGTTTTTAGGAACCTAACCCCATTGCAAATAGAGGTTTACCTGTACAAGAGACTTATAAAGTTGAGGGATCATTTTATTATCAGTGTACAGTACTTGAAGGTATGACATAATTCTAAAATTTTAGCTGGTTTTCACTGCTGTCCACTTGTGCTGCCTTCAGTGAGTGGGCTATCATAAGGCCTAGATTTTATTTCTTCTCAAGAGTATCCAAGAAAGTGTTATTCACAGACTATTTGTGTTGACTGCATGTACAGTCCTGTTCTATGCATAAAATACACTAATATATGTTACACAACCTCTCTTAAACACACAAACCTCACCTTACTCATTTGTAAGCAAAGAATGTCATTTGAACTGTCATATCAAGATTTCCTTTCATGCTGATTTAAATAATTTATTCAAATTCTTATTGCACATTTCCAGGTGGCCTAAAGATCAAAACATCCAAGAAGCTGTTCAATTGGGTTGCAACCTTGTACCTCTTGGTCACTACAATCCAAAAGAGCCCAACAAGGTTATGAAAATTGAATGGCAGATTCAATTTGCAAAGGGTGAACAGATTCTTCTCGAGCCTCGGACACACTCAAGTGAGAATATCAACTCATGTATTATTATAGTACTGTACATTTTTTCCCAGCTGAGATGAGAGTGCCCCCTCCTCAAGAGTTACAGCCGATTGGCTGTTGCAAATCTGTCCGATTTCATCCTGAAGTAATGATGTACAGGGGGGGGGCCCCCAAATTCGCAGGGGTTAGGTTCTCAAAATGGCACGAGTCGCCAAATCTGCGCATAACATTTGCTGACCGGTGTGGGGGAGGGGGTACATTTTTACTTGTGTACAAAGAAATGTATATTCCCTTTATGTGTTTGCCCTTAAGACAATTATTTCTTTTACATACCTGTACAGTATTGTATATATGTGTGTGTGTGTGTGTGTGTGTGTGTGTGTGTGTGTGTGTGTGTCTACACACACACACTCCACCAAAACACATACAAGTAAGTAGTATCTCCCTTAGCCGATCCTCAAACCCAGAACTCTCCGTTAGCAGGAATTGAAATTTTCTCGGAATATCGTTCCCAAAGCCGGAATTTTCCATAAAATTCTGGCTTTGAAGACATTCGAAGGGCTTACCGAACCCAGGAAAATTTGGGGATGGGAGTATTTTTTCCAGGTTTGAGAGATGAAAATCAGAAGCATTTTTTGGAATTGACAAGAAAAATTTTCTGTTACCAGGAAAATTCCGGGGATGAGGATTTTTCCGGGTTCGAGAGATGATGTAATGGGCAATTTCTGGAACTTCCGAGAACATTTTTCCGTTACCCGGAAAATTCCTGGGACGAGGGATTTTTTTCTGGCTTTGAGAAAGTCGTCTCATTACCGAATCTCTCATTCCTGGAAGTGCTCTACTTGTTCTGATTAACGGAGATATCACTGTAATAATGAGAAAATACCCTCAGAAATAGTCGGAAACAAATTTATGAAAAAAGTGACAGTCTACCCTCATGTCCATGTTTTATTAATAATGTAATAAAGCACAGACTTGAGGGTAGATGTCACATTTTTAATAAATTTGTTTCTGATTATTCGTGAGAGGATTTTCCAATTATTATTTATTTTTATGTGTTTTGTGTGTGTCCACACACGCATATATTTACAATACAGGTAAAGGAAATTACTGTCTCTAGAACAAATGGCTCCCTGTCCCAGCCGCAAAAATGCCGGTAACTTTAAAACTACCCACAGACATTCTTGGGTACATCCAATGTGTCATCCGTGAATATTAGAGGACCACGAATAAAAATCTGCGAACTTGGGGGGACCCCTTTTCTATACAAGTCTAACATAAATCTTATACATAAATTAACTGTTAAACTTTGGTAGCAAATTTACGCTTTTAGAGGCCGCATTTAATATATACTTATTTTTACCCACAACAAGGCTTACTAAGACAAATTACCTATCAGTAACACTACATTATGCAAAAACTAACATTCTTAAAGATCAGAATCACATTGAAATATTACACGACCTCTGAAAGTTATTGGATGAGTGTGACCTTGGCCGCTCTAACCGTCAGCAGAGGCGGGAAATATGAGCTGTTAGCAGTCATATTTTCCGCCTCTGTTGGTAACTGTATATATTTCAATGGTGCAGTCTTTCTGCATGTATGTTACTGATAGGTAATAGATTATGCCTTAAAAAATAAGTATACTGTATATTAAATGCATCCTCCGAAAGAGTAAATTTGCTACCAAAGTTTAACAGTTAATTTATGTATGAGATTTCTCATGAACTTCTTACGTGCTCATGTTTGAAATAATGAATGCATGTATGTTTATATAATTTAGCTAAATATATTTCTCGCCAAAAACAATCATCCCAACGATTATGAATAAACTCATTTAGAAATACATCATTATTTCAGCATGAAATTGGACAGATTTGCAATAGCCAATCAGCTGTAACACTTGAGGAGGGGGCGGGGCATCTCTTTTCAGCTGGGAAAAAATGCACTATATAGTGTGACATCTCTATGCTACAGTATTTTGAGAAATAATAACCTTGCTAAATAAACCACAATACAGTACTGTAATTCTTAGTCCAGAGTACTGTTAAGTTGGAGAGTGAAATTATATGAGATAAACATGACAATAATTTTTTTTAGAATTAAAATATATGTAATTTATTTTTTGTGTACAGTATCTCCATAATCCACCATATGATTATAATGAAACTGGTGTCAAAAGATAGGGATATTAGTCTAGTTTGGGGATATGTAAATAAATCTCAAATTGCTTGGGTATAAAGTGATTTTGGCATATTTGTCTCTATTCCCCCAAGCACCTCATATAATTGGCCACTCTGTTTATCATTCCCTGACATAGCCCATGCTGTCTGATCATGTGACAGTAGAACTCTATTTTTTTGTCTCAGTGATAAAGGTCACTAACTGTGGCCTTTTTTTTTTTTAAATCCATAAAAATCCAAATTCTGAATACTGTATTGACTGGTCTGAAGGATAATGGATTTTTATATTATATTTTATACACATCATCACCACCAGGTGGAGGTAGGGTGGGGGATTAATGGTCTCATATTACTGACCTTCTGATGGAATGTCAGGTCATCCTCTCTTGGGTGGGGGATTAGTGGGTCTCATGACCTGAAGATGTCTTGAATAAACACGAAAACTAAAGTATTTAAGAGAGATTGTGATAAATATAAGTATAAATGAGCAAAGATGTATCCCTTCAACATTATACTACATACAAATTTAAAATATGGAGTGAGAAAACAGAAAGGTGTGGGTGATTAAAGATGGAGTGGAAAGGAGTGGTAACATGCACCAGTGTTGCCAAGCGATAAGCTCCTCAACAGCTGATCTTTTAATTTGCCTCCATGCAGTCACACAACAATACCCCTCACTGGATGCTTGTTGTCTTAATTCCCATGTTTGTTTGTGTGTGTGTGTGTTTTAGCTTGCCAAGCACATTGTAGGATTTGAAGAAGTTGATGAAGAGTTTGTTCAGGAGTCAGGTGGTGAGGTGACATACCAAGACACTGACACAACCCACACATTAACAGCACCACTAAACCACTGTCTTAAAACATTTTACATTACAATTTCTAGTTTAAAATTAATTGAGACATGATAGCTCAACAGAGCTACTTTTGCACTTAGACAACTGATCAATGAATAAACCGGGGCATATGGAGACTCATTATACATTAGTAATGTCACAAAGCTTTGAACCTTTACTCAAATGTACTAGGTTAACTTAAAAAATTATTATGTATGGTGCAAAATAAGAGATGTTTATACTCAAATTAATCGCTATCTTTTAAGAATTATATTCTCCTAAGTCAGGTCAGCGACATTTTATAAGCAATAAATTAAAATCCCTCTGCCTGGAGTATGTTGTCAACAACCCACCTCCCCCTCCCCAGCCAGAGGGAGCAGGGTCTATTGGGGGTAAAAGCGACCACGACACCCCTCAATGGCTCTGAGTGTGTGTGATAATAATAATAATTAACTGTTTATTGAAAAAGTTCTGCAGCCCGAGAGCTGAAAATATGCATTAGACAATAATGTCTTATTACAGTACTTACAAAGACATGGGGTGGGTGGGTGTTTAATAAAAGATTTCATTACTGGAAGGAGAAGGAACATGAACTGAACATTCAAATTATTATTGTTTGCAGCTGATGGCCCGGGTTGGTCTCTTTGACATACTGCGTGAAGTCACGTAGGCCTCGTGGTTTAGTAACTCTTGTGTGTGTGTGTGTGTGTGTGTGTGTGTGTGTGTGTGAGTGCTTGCCAACACTCCTCTCCACTCCAATCACCCACACCTTTCTGCTTTCTCACTCCATATTTTAAAATGTTATGTAACGTAATGTTGTAGGGATACAACTTTGCTCATTTATATTTATACTTATCACAATCTCCATAAAAAATGCCTGTGACCACTGGCTGTGTATGTTTTGACGTCACTGCCTCAATACATAAATTCACTTCCTACACATACACAACCATGCTCTTCATTTTTCTTACTTTATAGTTTTACATTATATTTTCTTTATTTCTAAGATACATTAATGTTTTAATGATGCACCAGTAGAACACACAATCCCAAATTTTTCAAACTTCCTCCGAATTTTTTCCAATGTGGTTGAACATCCTAAAACCAAATTCTGACAATTTGTTAAACAAGAAAGGGTGTTAAAAATTTTATATTGCTAAACAGATATATCGCTAAGTGAATGAGTGTTAAACAGGGGATACCTGTAAAGTGGAGTACCAAATGAAACTAAATAATATGGGAATTGTGGTGAAATTGCATAATATTCTATTAACCCTTAAGCACCAGGCTAGGGTGCTGCTTGCAGTACCCCCTCCCACACACACGCATAGAGGACAAATTGAGAATTAACTTTTCAGAAAATAATTAAAAAGTGGCGGGAATAGGCAGACGTTCTGGAACATCACCCGGGGCTCGCTGGTCAATTCTGGAAAGTCACACAGGGCGTGCTGGTCAGACGTTCTGGAACGTCACCCAGGGCGTGCTGGTAAGACGATCTGGAACGTCACCCAGGGCGCGCTGGTAAGGCGTTCTGGAACGTCACCTGGGGCCTAAGGGTGAAGGAGGTCGGAGGAGCGCCAAGTGCTCAGGAACAAGGAGGAGGAGGAAGGGGGGTTAGTGGAAACTCAGTCCATCACCCAACTGCTATACCTCCCACTTCAAGCCATTAATTTCCCACCTTTCATTATTATTTTATAGTTTTATGTACAGTATATAGTAAAGCCTCCAATAACGAAGACGTTTCTACTAACGATGATTCATATTTAAGACCCTGGTTAATTTAGGACCCAATTCAATTTACGCCATTATTTTCTTCTTATTTACGACTAAATTAGAAAAAAAAAATTAATTTTCATATAAATAAGTCGTTTTTTTTTTAATAGTTTTTGTGATATACAGTGAACCCTCGATTTACGCGGTCAATTGAACCCACGGTGGCCTGCGTAAAGCGAGAAACGCGTAAAGTGAACAACATAACATATGGGATTAATTGAAATAGAGACCG